ATCTCAATTCTTTCTCGAGTTATCGTGCGGACAGACATACAGACAAACAAACAAACAAACAGAATGAAACTTTTCCGGTCAGTGGAGTAATGGGCTTCGCTAATCGCTCAGCCAATCAGCCAATTAGAGCTATTGTGACGATAAGTGATGGTGCCAAGTTGAAAAACTGTGAATCATTCGCTCAGTTGTGTGATGACATTAATATGTGCTTTGATTTGTGTAATGGTCCACAGGAGTGAAGTCATGAAAAACCTGCACCATTCAGAGTCAACATTTCTGCTGAGTCTCCCCATTGGGAAAAGTGGGACTCAGTTCTGTCCATCTTGAAAAGCTGGACTTTTAACAGAAAAAAGGATGGTGTGCGCCATGTCCCTCCATGTGTTAGCGGTTGGGTGCAGAACATTTCTTCTTTTAAAGTGTTGTGGTTCAAGATAAACAAGGTAGATGTACGCCAGACCACGTCCCGCGTAACAGGCTTCGCGATATCTCACGAAACACTGTTACGCTGCGACGCGCCTGGCATACATCTACCTTGGCCTGCGGCGCTGACACCCGAGTCGGGTAGAGCAAAAATGTACTCAAAGATTCGGGCCTCCGGCCCGCCAACCCCGTCACTTAGACTAAGCATGCATGGTTGTACATTTTTTCGCTTATTTTCGTCAAAAATACCCTCTAGCGTCTAAATGGTTGGACCTAGAGCAAAACGGACAAAATTGTCGCCCAAAGGGCTCTACTTTGATGAGTTACCCCCTAGGAAACCAGAAAAAAAATATTTTTAAAAACAGTCATTTTTGAGACCTGTGGTTTTTGATTTTTATTAAATCCAATTTTTGATCCAGAATGCTCATCTTCGACCTCGATCTGTCTTTTTATGACACAAAACGACCCTAAAAATCCCAGGTCGCTCACTCAATCCGTTCTCGAGTTATCGTGCGGACAGACAGACACACACACAGACAGACAGACAGACAGACAGAAAAAGTTTTTTCCGACCAGACGGAGTAATAGGCTTCGCTAATCGCTCAGCCAACAAAGATTCTCTTGTCAAAACAAAAATTCTTAGGCCTAGAAACTTAAATCAGGATGCCATAGAAAACTTTTTTTGTTTAGTTCGGCAGTGTGGAGGATCTAGCTCAAGATCTAACATGTGGGCAGTTTACTGCTGCCATGAAAACATGTATGATCAGCAGATTCTCCACACTGCTCAGTTCTGACAAAAATTGTCTTGACGATGGCTCCTTTTTAGCTGAGCGATTAGAGAAGCCTATTACTTCAGTGATGATCAAAAAGTTTCGCGTCTGTCTGTGTGTGTGTTTGTGTGTCTGTCTGTACGCACGATAACTCGAGAACGAATTGAGCTAGCGACCTGGGATTTTCAGGGTCGTTTTGTGTCATAAAAAGAAAGATCAAGTCCGAAGAAAAGCGTTCTAGCTCAAAAAATGAGTTTTTAAAAAATCAAATACCACAGGTCTCACTAATGACGTTTTTTAAAAATATTTTTTACAATTTTCTAGTGGGTACCATATTTCGTCCGTTTGGCTTTATCTTAAACAGTTTAGGCGCCAGAGGGAGTTTTTGATGAAAATAAGCGAAAAAATGTGCAATCCTGCATGCTTAGTCGAAGTTGACGGGCCGGAGGCCCGTAACTTTGTGTACATTTTGCACTTCCCGACTCGGGTGTCAGCGCCGCAGGCCTAGGTAGATGTATGCCAGGCGCGTCGCAGCGTTTACAGTGTTTAGTGAGATATCGCGAAGCCTGTTACGCGAGACGTGGTCTAGCGTACATCTACCTAGTTTATATCTGATCTAAGTGAGTGTTTATTGACAACTGAGGCAAATGTACAGTGTGTTTAACTGTCTCTAGTTCGTGGGGATACCCCTGCCAGCTTTGATCGGCGTGCTAAAATTCAAGAGACCAACACCTGTGCCCGCCTAACTCCCACTGCTATGTGGTCATCAGAAATGTAAGCTCTAATCTACAACATCTGCTGTGCTGATTGCCGAAAACTGTTGTATACTTTAGAGACAAGTTTGGACACTTTGTCTTGTGATGCTGGTGCTGTGTACCCTTCTCCAATGTTGGTGTCAAAGTTTGTAGTGTTTCAAAATTCATTTGAACGGCAGCACAGACGCATTTTGTTTCAAGAAAATGTGTCTCAAAAAGTGAGAAG